GTTACCCCTCGTTTGCACGCTCATGGAAACAGAAAAGCCTTTTTTTTAAACAGAGAGAAAAGAGCGGCAACAAAGACAGCTTCTGGTTTTAGATATTATAATATTCTAGTCTGTGGAGTTGGCTGAAAACCAGGCGTGGTTCGTCCATAGAGCACGGTCGTGCTGTGCCGCCCAAATTTTTGTTATGTTCTATTAAGAAAAGCACCGACAAACATGAAATAAAAGAAGTAAGAAACAAACACTAGACAAATATAATATCAAAACAAGGTCCTCGCTGGCGTTGTAACTGTCATTTCTGTGTCAAAAGCGCCGTAAAACATCTACTAGGCCATGCCAAAGTCCACGCGCTTTAACTAGACGTAATAGAATATTCAACAGTGGCTATCTGACTTATAAATCGCTCTTTGGGACAACCCAAGAGATGACGGCACTCGTAGCGAGTCTGGCGGAACATTAATATTAACAAGACGGCACATCTCAAATCGGCACCCACGAAACATAGCCCACAGTAGGAAGTCTAAAAATAAACGCGATAGCCTGAACACTATTCAATGCCAAAATTATGTGATCCCCGGAGCAATCCAGCGGAGTGCCCAAGTGAATTGTGATTGGTTCATTGTCTTGCCACTATTTTAAGCGACTCTGTGACCGTGAACCTGAGGGAGGAGAATGTGACATACTTAAGTCACCGCCCTATGAGTTGTGCCTTTGAATGGTTTTGTAGTGGAGTGGTGAAAGTTATTACTCGGGTGTTCAGTTCCAATGCAGGATAAAAAAAACTTGACGTTTAGCTAAGAAACATATTTAGTTCTAGAAATCAAAGCGACCGGTAAAAAGAACGAAAATAAAAGCATAAGATCTTCCTTCACCAACCCAGAGATCCTACCATCCCATTTACTATGCCCTTGACTATCTTCAACCTGCTGTTGCTTAATTGTGCACGGCCACTTTTTAGTCCCACGAGCCGCCCCTGCTGAAAACGACTGCTTGAGATTCACAAATAAACTATCCAGTGACGTAATCCCTCAATACGTTAGCAACATTTGCAAATGAAGCAAACCGGTGTCTGTAATGTAGAGGCTATGCACTTTGTCGTCGCACACAAAACCTGGGTTCGATTCCCGAGTGGGGAGAGTTTTCATTAAGTATCTTGGTCTTTCTGCCGGGACGATATTATTTTCCTCTTGGCCCGGGTTGGCCCTGACAAGCAGGGTCGAGGCTTTCCCTGAAATGACCCAGATTGTGTCCGTGAGGGCGTAAAACACATACATTTTTTTAAAATAGAGTAAACACAAGACGTTTGTTCCGTAAGAAAATTCCAGTCCTCACATCTATTCCCCCAACCAACGTTGTCAGGACTGGAGTCGTTGGACATCCTATTTTCATTGTCCTTCTCTGAAACATTTTTCCTTCAGTGCGGTGTCATGATGCCAAGCTAGGTTGTACAAGCAAACAAACAAACACACAAACAAACACACAAACAAACAAACAAACAAACAAACAAACAAACAAACAAACAAACAAACAAACAAACAAACAAACAAACAAACTTAATATGCACAGTTTATGCAGGATGGCTAAAAAACAAGACTTAGTTATCCCCATTTTCAGTAAACATAAAAACAGCAAAATTGACAGGTTTTTTTTGGGCTACTTACAAAGTTAAAATTTTTTTTTCATAAGTGCTGATTATAATAATGATAAAAACCAAAACAACGATATTTTAACCAGTTATTTTTTTTATTGATCCTCGAGTACAATTTGGACTGAACATAGACTGCGAGCTTTAACTTTAAGCAAAGCAATACATGGACAACATCAAATGTGTACTGAGTGAGAATGCCCACAGACAGAATCTTTTAAAAAAGCACACTTTCATAACCTCTCTCATCACGGCATACATACATACATAATACATACATACATACATACATACATACATACATACATACATACATACATACATA